AGTATGAACGCTGCCTTATGGAGATGGTGATATTTCCCTTCTAAGGCTCCTCATGTTATCTTATCAGCTCTTATCACGTCCTGCCACCTACCAATAATGTCCCTGCCCGACCTCCTACATCGCCTATCAATTTGAGCGCTCCACTGCTATTTTGAGGAAAGTTATGAATTTCCGGTCAAACACACATACAGACACACAAACATACATTCACACACACACACCAACAGACAAACTTAGCGGATTATATATAGTAGGATACTGAGCTGTTGAGTCGGAGACGATGGTGTAATGGCAAGTTTCCCGCTCACCACGCGCAGTGTTCGGTGGTATAATCCCGGATAAGCTACCACCCCGGCTCACAGAGTCTCCCACTCGTGGAGACAGTGAATTGGTACCATATTCGTCGCGACGATAAGAACAGGGACTCGTACACCGCCTGCCCTCTACAGGTCATAGTAAAGGCTATATCAGGGCACATCATTGGTTGGGGAATTCAGTCGAGTCCGTGCGACCACCATCCCCCCAAAGTGGCAGAAAGGTGGGGAGGGGGAGGGGGATAAATAGCACATTTGAAACAGGAAAAGCCGCGAGACAATACGATCCCCCCCTCTACCAATTCTCAGATTTTCCCCAACTTTCTGCCACTTTTCCCAAAATCTCCGAAAACTTCCCTGCTTTTCCCCAAGAAATTTGCTGTCGAGCCCAACAATGAACAAGTAGGAACCCCCTGCTACGAAGTCCGTGAAGCGAGAAAAATCAACTATTAAAATGAATCTTCTTAAACTCAAATACGCCTCACCCCTCCTGGCTGCCAAATATGACCCCCCCCCTGTTGGGGACTGCCCAACAACGATGTGCCCAGAGCCATATCGTATCCAGTGAGCCATTTGAAATCGCGCCGGGCAAGTCGCATCCCCAAAACGGGACTGCTCAAAGATGAAGCCTCATCGCTCTCTTAAGGCTGCAGACTGTAAAGGTTCTAGAACGAGCGCCGTCTATCTTACTGTTCCAACGATCCAACAAGACATACTTCGTAATTTGATACTTTACAAAAGTAACTTTGGTCACGATGCGGAATGTGCCATAAAGAACACCATCCGAGCAGAAAGATGTCACGTTGTGTTCAGAAAAATCGCAGTTGATTGGTTTGGCCAAGTATTGTGCCGACATGAACGATCGATCGGCCAAGAACTGCACGTCCTTACTTTGATCGGGGAGCCGTCCGTCACTGGTGCAATCGATTTGGATCGAGAAATTGGCAGCACGATTTTTGGCCGAAAGATTAAGGATCGTAGCAGGAACCATTTTAAAGGCAGCTGTGAAGAAGAGGCGCCTGGACAATGAGCTCCATGTTTGTCGGTGTCACCAGGGCCTACAGTTCTTGCTCGACATTGTGGCTGTCCATGAAAAATGGGTTTGAGCCTTTTGCACATATCGCAGCAATCAATGGCTAAGGCCAGTGCAATGACCAGTTCAGGCACCTCTACCCGACTTTCGTCGAGCAGAATGATGTCGATTAGGGTCAGTACGGCTTGGTGGGGGCACCAGATAGTACTCAGCTAAGCTTGTTCAGGCTACCTTGTGAATACCCGTAAATTCGTATGACCGAAGAGACTTACTCTAAAGTTTCGCAGTACTACAGGATTCACAGGTCTGACCAAAGCGAGACCTGTTCGTTAACATGAACGCAGAAGGAGCTGGTAACGCGCAATATGCCACCTCCAAGCCGAACAGTGCCGTCGACTAGTTTTTGGAACCGTGGCATCGAGCTGCTACACCACAGATGACCAAGGGTTGCTGACTTTGAAGGGGCATAATTTGATTACAGTACCTAGAGGGTTTTTTTTTGCTAACGAACACTCATATTCAGTTCAGTGCTAGAACTTTTTGCAGCAGACCTGTATCAGATTAAACCTTGCCCTGTGAGGCATGCAAACAGACCTCCCCGCCAACCTACACCTACAATTCCTCAAGGTTTGAAAGTTCAAATGTGCTTTTCCTCTATTTCGCAAAAAAAAAGAAAAGAAATTACTAAATCACCTCGCTTCCACTGCTGCTACTGCTGGCAGTATGATCCCATTGCTCCGGTTTCGCAGGAAAAGCCATACTTGGACCCTGAAATGAGCCAGTTCAACCCATTTTCTCCTCTAGATCTTTAAACGAGACTATAAAACTATTTATTTCATTACAGCGCAACTCTTCACATTTTCGTGTCAATTAGTCGTCATATGCCGGCAGGACATACCAACCGCGTGTGAATTGTTTATTGAATCCACCTTCACAAGGCGAATCGGACCATTTCGTCGTTTCCGCACATTTTTCTAAGACAAGCACATTTATCGTGATTGTCTGGCAGAATAAAGGCATCTATACTATCCGTGGTTTATCAAGCTATTAGACGCAAAGCGCAGCCGGCACGGCACCCTCCAAAACATTGGCTAAAAAGGGAATGTACATGGCATCACAAAAACTGCAATTAACGCATTTGGACATGCCATAGACGAAGAACCAGTCAGAAAATCTGGACAGTAAAAAAATATGACATGTTTATTTCTCTGCTACTCTTGGAGTTTTGTTCCCAGCCACAGAAATGCACATTTTTTTTACTAGTTGCACTAACACGACAACCAGTGTGCCCTTCCCTCAGTAAATAAACGGGCTCACGCTATGTTCAACTAGGTGAGTTCACGAGACCGACACGTTCATCTCATACGCACGTTTTCAGGGGTACTGTATAACGTTAGTCGTGCTGAACTTTAAATCTTGTTCTTACACATTGTGACAAAGTACACAGGCCCCGTGGTCTTTTTCTCAAAAATATGCACGCGAGCGACAGAACCCTGGAATTTATATAAGCTTAAAGCAGCTGCTTCACGCTGATATAAATACCAGGGAACAGCCACTCGCATGCACGGTACAGCATCGTTGTGTGAAACACATAGGGGGAGGTCGTACTTTTGGCTGTGGAGAGGGGGTCGTATTTGGTCGTTGGCGGCAGAGCAAAGGGGAAGGGGTCGTATGTGGCTTTGAGAGAAATTTGCGACTTGAGAAAATTGGGAAAAAAAACTTCCTGGTTGTCGACTTTCACATGTTTTTCGTGTTCTATGGTACTATATAGTCCCCACTCGGCAGAAAATTCGCGGGTGAAAAACTGGAAGATGTGGAAAATTGATAGGTAGGTGTTGAGGAAGGTGGGGGGGGGGTCGTCACCATTTCGCACACCAGGATGCTGTACTCTGCTCGCACGTATTCTTGGAGACTTCGTAGTGGAAGATCAATAGGGAAAGTGGTAGGAATGGATTGCAAATGGGATGGGGGATGAGAATGGGGATCTTCCAGAGGGAGGAGACGATTTACAAAATTTCCTCCTAACAGCAGAACAAATAACTATACGAATCCGAATGGTGCTCGAGTAAGTACCTAAATTCAAAGGGAACTGTCCGTATCGCATAGTTCGACTTTCGTCACCTTTTATGCAGGTTAGAATGCGGCAAAATGTTTCTAGGGCCACAACAGGTGAGGCACTAATGAACAGCGCTGCCTAGCCAAGCAAGATTCAAAGGGTTTAACAGTCACGGCAACGAGGAACGGCCTCATAAACTTCTACTACTGGACCATTCAAGATTTCAAAACATTTGCTTTTACTTCTTCAATAAAAGTTTTCTAATACCACGAATCAAGGCCTCTAAACTTACGACGCAGCGACCCCCTGCCACAGACAGTTCCATTACATTATGAAATTATCGAATTTCCTGAACGATCGACATCTCCGCCGTACCGAACTGTCAAAGAAGATTATCTCAACAATAATGGTTCACCAAGACGGCAATCTTTTCAGGGCGACCAAGACGGAAGACTGAAACCTGCTAGAATGAATAAAAGATGACGCAAAGGTACGCGACCGTTTAGAATAAAATTGGGACGTGGTGAACAGCACGGTGAGGAAAACGTCGTATCGGAAATACCTTTAAGGTAACACGCACATTTGAAAACGGTTCACATGCACTGAAGAAGTGAAATTCTATTCGATGAAACCACGAGACTAAAGGGAGCGAACGTTGCACGTTGCCATGGATTTTTCCTACGATGGAAACCCGACTTTTCTCCTGTCGTGAAACTCAATGTCAACATTTCAGACTAGGAAAATGATAAATTCTACACAAGCTTGAGGCCTAATAAAGCTAGCCTTCACTAGTGGAAATTTTGTTTGGAAATCACCACCACTAGAAGATGCCGCACGCATTCCTTCCTTTGGTCACCAGTGGGCAATCAGTGCATATGCAAAAGAACGATATCCTACTCCGAGCTGAGCTGCACCTCGATGATAAGAACTGATGCATTCAAGAAACTTTGCTCCTTTCTACAAAGCCGGAATTGAGGTAACCAGAATACATCGGATTCCAGCGCCTTTGATGGAGATCCCCTCCTTTCGCTAGTCATTAAGCTTTCAAATTCTCCGTCTTGGAGTGCGCTCGAGTCACTGTGAAAATTTCTGTAAGTGGGACGTGAAAGGCGTGGAGTGAGATAGATTTACCTGCCTTTTGGGTTCGCTAAGAGTTTCAATTAAATGGCGGACATTTTCAAACTAAGCATGTTTTCCTAGCTAGAGTGAGCGCCAAGAGGAGAGAAGTCCTTATCACTAAATATATCTTTAAACCGCGTTCATACTTCGCAACTCGAGCGATTCACTTGGTTGACTACGACTCATCGCACTCCACCGCAAGTCGCTGGACCGCTGCAAAATTCGAAACAACGGTCTGACCCCATTTGAAGTGACAGCGGTCCAATAACTAGCGGTGGAGCGCGGTCAACTATGTCAGAATGGCTCAAGTCGCGAAGTAAAAGCGCAGAATGTCAGGCATTTACTTGGTGGCGTTGATTTTGCCGTGCATACACGACACCTTACTGCTAGATATAGGTCCAAGCCTTCAATGCATGAAGCAGCTCAATATTTGAGCAAATATCGAAAAAAAAACAGCGAAAATTGAAACTGACAAAAATTATGTATTTACTAAAAAATGCAAAATACTCACAAGTGCAGACGAATTCGCTTGTTCAGCCTGAAGTGGGCACTCAGGCCATGATGTTGCCGTTCGCAAAGGCCCAGTTCCAACAACTGGCACATTCGGCGGAGGACAATTTATCTAGAAGTGTTCTCTTTTACAACACTGTCGAAAAGACATAATTTTTCATACAGAAATAACACTTTAATTGATAGAAATAGATAGCGATCAATCTTACGCTTTTCTTATATTTGCTCTGCTTCTCCTCCTCATGCTTAGCAGCAACACGACGTGCATCGGCAAGTGCTGTCTCAGCTTTCTCTTGTGCCACCTGGTCTTTGGAGTGGATACACCGAGTTATGATTATTAACTGAAGTGGTATTCTCATAGCTTTAGATTACCGGTATTTCGAAGGCTGACAAATTCAGCCATCCATCGACATTACCTTAAATTCCGGTGGCATACTTTCATTCTTGAATGCACGATCTACTTCGATCAACGGGAACACATGCACATGCTCTCCACGGCTTCGACGTATCAATGCAGGGCCTGCTGCTTCAGGACGACCCTCTGCAGCTGCATCGACCGGTTCACCGCCTACAAAAACAAGACAACCACATTACAGTAGAGCCTTACACAATAAAGGCCATATGGAAGGAAGACTAACGTGTAGGAAGAGACCGCCGACGTTCGTTGTAGCTGTCGCGTACCAGGTTGGAGGAATGTGCGTTACGGAGCAGCTCTTCAATACCAAATCTAGGCCTGGAATGTAGGTTCTTGAGGTTTGTCAACGAGAAGAGTAACAGATGTAATATTTATTTATCTCAGGCATTGTTCACAGTCTGCGACCCTGATGAAACGGCGGTTGGGAGAAAAGCAAAAAATAGTCATCGATCGGAGAATCGCCAACCGCTAATTTCGCCGAAGCGCCGCGGTTCGGCGGTTGGGCGAAAAGCAGTAGATGTGTATCGATTTCGATGGCGAAAAACGCCAGGCCGATCGAGCTCGAAGGCGTCATGGTTTGGCGAAACGCCCGTCGATTCGTATCAGAACCCTTTCGCTCAATCGACAGACTCTTCACCCAACCGCCAGTCGATACGCTCAAAAGCTTTTCGCCGAACCGCTGCGTTTCAGAGAAACACTTTGCCGCAGACTTTGAACAATGCCTCATGCACGCGCAGAGAGAGGGATCGGTGCCTCAGACTGTGCGACGACGAGGGATTGGATCACCGTCAGAGACGATGATAGAAAAATTTTATTATCCCAAATGCCGCTGCGCCAACTACTGGTGGGGCACCGCCAGGTCGCTGTCGCGCGATCGAATTGCTAGGTGTGAACACACTTTCCCTAAGGTTTCTTCGGGGGAGTACATGCAACCCAATACGAATTTCGTGCCTGAATTTGCTTCAGTGGGGAACCAAAGCTCACTAGTTGCACGGCTGACCCTTACGTCTGCAGATTTGATGGTAGTTTGATGTAGTTTGTCTCACATTGTGAGGAGCTTTAACTCTCAACATTTGGTTTGAGTGTTACTATGCTCTCTCTAGAAATACCCCACAACTGCGTTCGGAGTGGTCTCCAGAGATACGGAAAATGGGTTCATAACCACCGTCCGGCTAAATTTTGGGATTTCAAATAGCCACTCGAACCTATCATCGTCACCTTGTTAGAACAGGTACCCTCCATCGACGGCGGAGTCTTCCGGCTATCACCGTCACCATCCTCCCCCCCCCCTACACGCTGTTCCGCTGTTGGCGGCGCTGTAGACGGGGAGGGGGGCATTTTGCACTTTAAGGAATTCCCATCGACGTGTCGACCCATCTGGACAACCCCGTCTCGAGTTGACAGGTTTTACCATGATGGCTTGACGAGCTTTCTCCAGCTTCACAAGAGCTCACAGGTTTCACCAGAATGAGACTTGTAAACCGGAACTAGCGAAGCAACAAAAATGTAAAATGGCCTCTCCGTCGGCGGGTATTTGACAAGAGGATCGTGATCCGCCGCGCTGCCAGGCGTCGCGTGCGATGTCTCGCGTGCAAAGGACGAGCCTTCCAGGTAGTAGATGGCAACAACATGCAATTACGGACCGAAAACAGTAATGACAGTCAACGATGACGGGATCCACATGAAGTCCGGTGCTGTTGTGGCCGACCTCACGTAGCCCCAACGCTTCGTCATCATAGGCGGAGCATCGCTGCAGCACTTGACTTCACTCGTCTCCTGCGAGAGAAACGGGAGCGGCCTCCCATTCGATCGATAACGTTTCTTATCAGTTTACGTTACTTAATAAACTATTATATTGAAAGAGAGTCAATTCGAGAGCAGGGTCGAAGGCCGGCACAGGTGCTCTATTCTACAGGTTGAAACGAAAACGCCGCGCCCATCCGCCGCGCGTGGCGGTGATGCAAATTACGATCCTCTTTACCGTCCCCTCCGTCGGCATTCTGTACCCTACATATCTGTTATTATTATTATTATTATTATTATTATTATTATTATTATTATTATTATTATTATTATTATTATTATTATTATTATTATTATTATTATTATTATTATTAATTATTATTTTATTATTATTATTATATATTATTATTATTATTTCATAACCTATACCAGAGAGATACTTGAAAAACTTACGCTTTACTCGCATCACCATAGATGTCTGCTAATGTTGAATATGGACAATGATCTTCAAGGCCAGGTGGCAAGAGAAGCTATAAAATCTCGGAATCTCTAGAAACATTCCATCATTCAAGAATAGTAATGTTCACCTCAAGATTCGTCGCTTCCCATCGATCACTCGCACTAGTTGTCTTCCGTTTCTTTTGGCCATCTGTATATCCACTATCTATTGATGACATCTGCGGATCGCTGCTATGGGATTTTCGAGAAGCCACTAAATCAAAATATTCAGCAATCAAAGGGAAATACAGTCCCAAGATCGCCACGTTATCCACCGTCCTCTTCGCTGCGTATGAGGAGGCGTGTCACTCGAGATGGGTCTGGTGGTACGCCAAGCTCTTTCTCCACCAGTTGTTCAAGCGGGAAAGCAAGATAATTGGTGCAGAATGACTTATACGAAGGACAAGATAGTCTTGTCGCCCGCCTTAACAACTGGTGGAAAAAGTAGTAGTTTAATATATCGTTTATACTTTGAAATTGTATTGTTTAGTTAAACTTGATCATTTTTTTTGGAAAACAGGTTTAGCATCGCGCCAAGCTCATCCCACCAGACATGGCCCTTCATACACAGGGAACAAAACTGTACACCACCTTTAGCCTCGCCCATTAACGGCTAAATCAGCAGTGGAATAAGGTTAAAAGGCGCTAGTCTTATATAGGTCTGCAGACCAAATTATAAATATCAGCATTATGAGTACATGCCACAAGGTCGCATTAAGTCTCATGACATGTCCAGGAATCGCGTTTCACTGCATAAAACTCTTCAAAACCATCTCTTCATTCTTCACGGTGCACAGCCTTTTTGCCGGTGACGACGATTTTTGCATAATCCCAGAGAAAAGAGCTTCGGTGTGGGTGTACCAAACCCATCATTCAAAGAAGGTTCGCATTGTGCCAAAGTGGTTTGTATACCTCGTAGCTTCTTCACACTCTGCTGTATTCGGTCGGAGGAGGGAGTTATATTTGGGCCAGAAATTTTTCTTGACAGCTGAGTTTTCCGGTCCCACCGCCACCCAAAATTAATAAGTTCCACTGCTGAGGCATCGTCACAATTTTATACACTTTCAATAACCGGATTAATAGTCAGTATGACTAATATTGACTATTAATTCAGTTATCGAAAATAGTATATAAACGATTTTTGTAGTTAATATTCAATAGCTGCTGTGGCGACCTCCGCCCTCCCTGCTCGACTGTAAGACCTTGAAAAATGGACGATGTCGGAAAAGCGACAGGAATTTGGGAAAAGTTGGCAAGACGGTAGGTAGGATGGTTAGGTGAGGGAGTCATACCAGAGAAGAGAATCTGAGGGGGGGAGGGGTCTTATTTTGCAGAGTATTTTCCCAGCGGCAGGAAGTGCCCTGGTCCCAATAAGAAACTTATGGGTCTGCGTACCCATACTGGACCAGCGCCAATGACAATTCGAAACTGGAAACTACGAAAAGAGGAAAAATGATATTCTCAAGTACTCCAAGCATAAATCGCCAGCAGTGAGAGATGATGACCTTTTTCTGGACGAACGTCGAGACAAAAAGGCACGTACCCGGAGCAGGAGCAGATGGAGGTGAACATGATGTGAATATGGCGGTTGGGCAAGCGGTAGAAGTCGACGGTGCCGATGTCCTCAACTTAGTTATCGAGGTAGCGCCTTCTGGGTACGGCGAGATCTCATCTCCATGTTGATAAGCCCCTCCACAAGAGCCAGGACAAGTGAACATTGTGTTCAGCCAAACATGTCCAATCTAAAAGCGAAATATAACAATAACGAATAGATTTGTATGTGTGGAACAGTGCAAATTCAGGGAATCCCAGTAAATAAGCAGGACTATCAAGCAAAAAAGAAAGACTATACTCAACGCATACCTTCTCACGCTTTTTCTTATTTTTCCGAAGGCGTGAACCCGTGGTTGTTGTTTCAGAAAATATATCAACACGAATGTCACCTTCCAAGTAGACGCGGTACGGGAGCGTCACAGACCAACCCCAAGCTCGCCTGAAAAAAGACACTGAGGAAATAAATAAGCGTCTTTTCGCTATGCTACCTCTCGCTTCCTGTGGGTGAAATATAGTTCAACGTGAAACCAATATTTACAAATCCACCTCTATATATAATATCAAAAAAATACTAAGAGGGCAGTCTATCAATTCCTACTTGCTACTATCTACCTGGTCTATGGCAACTGTCTACTTGGTCCGGGCGAGAACGGGTTCATTAAAATATGGCGCAGTTTGACATAATGATGAGTACTTTACGACCTGTGAGGGATGAGGCAGCTTATTCTTCTCTTACCGAGAAAATGAAATCTGCATCGGAGCGAACGTTCGCAAAATGTCAGCCGCTGACATGGGTAGTGATGGGTGGTGGTGATCAACAGGAAGTGATCGCAGATTACTTGAGAATGAGCGCTTTTCTTCTGTCTACCGCTCAAAACACGAGGAAAAGAAGAACGGTGAGTTATTCTCTTTTTCAAAGAGCATTAATGAAACATATAATCTTAAACCCATAAACGGCGCACTACGGCGATGGCCTCCATAAATCCATAAATTTGAGAAAAATCATACTGGCTTATATTCAGAATGGGAAACTGTATTGCGATTAAAAGTACGAAGAACGTGGTTACAAAAGAAACAAATTCAAATCTGTTCAAACCTTGAGACACAGGTCTTGTCCGTCTCGTAATTCTGTGACGATGGATTATAGCTGTCTTCACCAAACGGCACTTTTCCCGCCCACAGCTTCTCTTCCTCACTCCTGACACCAAAGACCAAATTTATGCAACGTTTAAATTTTCCAAAGACCATATACCTACCATTGATGCCGTGAAATGGTAATCGGTGCACCAGTGAACATCTCAATGTCGCCTTGAGCTACCCGCATTACGAGGTCCCCTTTGAATGTCACACCTGAATGTTATACCATGAAGGATTTTCACAATTAATCTTGGCATTATTATGGTAACCTTACAGTATAATTTTTAGCCTCCCGAGATTAACACCGGGCACTCTCAGCGTAAAGACCGTGCGATGTTTTCATATGTATTGAAATTCAGATGTTTTGGGTTACAGAGCTTGAGGGAGCCCCAGGCGTTGTAACCCGAAACAAGTTGCAGTTGAAAAAAAGCGATTCATACGCACGTAGAACACGTTACCGTAATAAGGCATCTGCATCAATCATCTCCAAGAACAAACAGATTCACATTTGACATCAAATATGCGACTTGCTTTCCTTTGAAGGGATTAGCCAAGCAGGACGAAAGTGCAAAAACCAAACGCTGCGCAAATCATGGAACACTACGGTTGGGAGAACAAGTAATAATGGTTGTTTAAAACGTAATTCTCTAAGGCTGAGTCCTGCTGCTAAACAAAGGAAAATCATTGAAAATGAAAATTTGCTGACTATGTTGAAAAATGAACAAGTGAGAAATATTGAGACGGAGGAGTCGAAAGATAGCTCAGTTTCCGTTCCGCACGTGCCATTGGGCGCCAGGCGCTCTTCTTTGAGTGGGGTAAATTACAAGCCCAAGATTTCAAAGAGCACACAAGTCAAAGATGCGCATTGAAGGGGAAAGCACAAAAACTGCTCCGCTCCACAACGAGATAGTTGTCAGTAACTGTACGACCAAACGTCTTCTTCCCAATTTTCTCCTTTCTTCTAAGAAAGGTTCCACTTTTTTGGATAAAAGCTGTATCGGCTTGACTTAGCATGGGCGGTATTCTTATCGTAAAATGGGCGGTATTTTTAACGTAAAATCATTGAAAGGAGAAGTGTTCTTTTAAGACATTCGCAATTATAGAGAATTCCATGTTATGTAACGTGATCTGTTTACTAATTGAGTTTGAATGACTTTTTGTTTTGTTAGGTCGACGAAATGGAGTGCAACTTCCCCACCCCTTTCCTTGTGCGTTTAAACGAAACGCTAAATCTACATAAGCCCTATGTGACAGAAATCTATCTACAGTATCCGGCAACTTACCGTAACTCAATGAGTGGAGTCTCAAGCAGTTCCTCAATGGTTAAAGTAAAGAAAGCTAACTAACAAACAAACAAACGTGATGCGAAGAATGCTCGCATAGAGGACAAGTATGCGAACAAATTCCGATAACACCAAGAAATGCCGAAATGTCCCCATGGAGATTGCAGAAAGATGGGCGCTTGGCGCTGCCATAAATGGTGAACTACGTGTTCTAAGCATGCCTCGACTATTAAAAACAGCGCGCGCCTTCGAATGTCTGAGAAAAAAAATTGTGCTTTCTCCTCATCACGGTGTTGCTCGCGCAGAAACGTGAGCTCAGATGCACATAAGATACCCTTTGCAAAAGTGCTAGAAAAGTGAAAAGGGTCACTTTTCTCTCTCTTCTCCACCCTACCTATCATCTTATTGGTTTTACTGACTTTTCCTTACTTTCTAACGGACAGAGGGAGGGGAGCCAACCAGCGAACGGCAGAGAATGTGCGGAGGGGGGGACGTCATCAAGCGCATGCAAAACGACAAACGGGGGAATTCAACGACCGAACAAGTTTTTAAGGTAGGAAAAATTCTCTCAAGGGCAGATACGACCACCGCCAGGGACTCCCCAACGTATGACGCGCCCTGACTATTAAATGTGCTACAGTGATTATGAATGAAAAAACGTTATGAATTAGATCGTAAATTTGCACGTTGTGATAAAACAGGGTAAAACAGGGTGATGAAAAATGTAACATGACATTTAAGCATTCATTCTGATGGCTAAAAAAATTAGAGCACTTCAAGGGGGGGGGCGGGGCTAGATAGAAGAGAACCAAAAACCTAAAAACCAAAGTTACTTAGAAAGAATTAACAACAAGAATTTAAGAAAAAAAAACAAAAAACAAGAAAAACAAATCACCAACTTACCCGGTTGTGGAGGCCGCTCCACATATACTCCTACAAGTTCTATCCGTAGCGGTGTATAAGTCAAACCATATTTGTGCATTTGTGAAAAATAATAAACATATCGACGTTGTGAAGGTATTGTTACACCCTGAAAAGATTGAACCCCGATGCAAGGTGGGAGATATGGCTGCTCAGGCGCTCTTTGGATTACACAAGAAAGATGAGAGAAAAAAAAACATGAAAACCTGCACATTTTGCAGAGCAACGTCACAGAGATCCAAAAAAAAGCAAAAAAAAATAAGCGATCGAAGAACAAATTGCGTAAACACTTGCGAAATTTCAGCCTGAGAAGGCAATTAGTAGCATGCTTTCAGAAACTTTGCTGTTCCGCGAACAAAGAAACACTTTTCATTCTCCCAAAATCTACTACCTTCCAAGGACGGTCACCCAATGAGAATCCCACACAGTGAGGAAATAATGTTAAATGACTAGTGCTTGACGAACTGTAGCCCGTAAGGCTAAGAGGTTTATCATCAGTGGATTACATTTCCATCGCGCACTGAGGCCAGCTTTAAGTGGAATAAGAGAAGTGGTTCGAGATGACTTCACAGCAACTATTATACTCCAACTTACACTCTTACTCCTATATAGGACTGTCTTGTACCGTTCACCTCCCAATGCCAAAACAAAAGTTCCAGGGGTGGAAAATGACGGCATCCACAAATGTGACCTGCTTCTGTTTGAAGCGAATGAACAATGAACAACAGTGTGTAGAACCGCAATGAAGTTCGATAAGCAGGCCACGTTGTGTGTTTTGGATCCCCAGCGAGAAGAGGGTGGAGTGGGGGGGGGGGATCGTGGTGCTTGCCTTCGCGAAAAATTTTTGGTTGCCGACTTCTCTAGTTCCTGCTTTCTCCCGTTTCATGTGCACTGTATACTCCCCTCCCCCCCATGACGGCAGTCTATCCCAGTGTTCTGAGGAAAACCGCACTCCCGGAAAAAAAAAGTAGAGAACTATAAGAAGTAGGGAGAACTCAGAAGATGGTAGGTAGGAAGATGAATGGGGAAGAAGGGTGTTGGCGTACTAGACAGAGCAGGGAACTTTAGCGTGGTCGCATTTTGCAACATTTCTCCCCAATCCTAAGAGGGACACGAACAGAAGGGACAAGGAAGAAATGATGAATATTCCAGTAGAGAAAAGAAAATATCCGCTTCCTATGTTTTCTTCTGCTTTTTCCTAGGCAAATTTCCCACATGGCACTTACTGTTTCATATTTGAAAGCCTTCACTCTCATTTCAGCCAGTGTCCACTGTGCCTTTGAAAATGCACTTTTGCGAGGAACCACCATGCCCACTGACTTCAAAAAACGGACAATGATTTACGATAGGTTCAGTGGAACTCATGGTCAGTGTACTATTATATGCCCACTAAACAGCAGTGGAAAAGGAGAAAGTAGAGAAACGAAAAATTCTATGCTGACCTTATTGTTGACAGTCCTAACGATAGAATAGTAATCCATCACTTGACGTGGAAGATTGTAAAAATTTATCGAGACAAGATAGGCGCATATCATCACACCGGTTCGCCCCTGAAGATGTTTGCATTATGGTTGGAAATGAGAATGAAACATATGGCAGATTTCCTTCAACTTTTTTTCTCCACATATCCATAAAGTATACTCCATGTCCCGGAGATGTTGTGGGTGTGGTTGCGCACTTCACTCAAACCTGGCAGCTGCGGCGCGTCTGCTGGGGTCTTTTTATTAGGTTGGCGGGAAAGTTCTGTCACTTTCGAACTCAAAATACTTGTACATTACCTGAAGAGGGGTGAACGGTAATGTGAGCGCTTATACATCAAAGAGTGGTCTTTCTATTAGTACCACTCGCTTGATTCCTGCTTCTTCTTTTTCTGCAATATGGACAAGAATGTTACCCGCTACCATCGCCACCGACCCCTCCGAATGCTTCTGATAGTGCAGAGCACTTTCAAAAAAGTTCTAGCCATTCCACATGCAATAGAGCTAGATGGCTCTCCCCTTGCACTGGTATAGCACGGACATTGCTCCTTCTAATTGCGAGTCGCCTCCCGTAATCAATCATTACTGGACGAGAGATTACGAGAAAACCTCGAAAAGTCCGAGTTCGAGCCAAGATTGAGATGTTGTCCAACTTTGCATAGCGCCTCCCTGCATTGTAAAGCGATGGCATCCATGAGGTGCTCAGAAACAGGCAAGGACCCCTCAGTAACACTGCTGTACAATTTTGATCTTACACGCCTCTCTATAAAAATAAAGCCCAATTTGAAAAAAGTGACAGAACTTCCCCGCCAGCCTAATATTTTGAGACAGCAGTCATGTTTTTGTCCAACAACACACAGGATGGCAGTTGCTTTAAATGGAGATATTCTACGGAGAAAGCATATCAAGCAGTGAGATGAGCTACAAGGCCACGCCCCTTAACTACAAGGCCACGTCCCTTCTATCTTCGAGATATGGAGAGTATCGTGCGAATAGAATCGAGAATTCGTCCCCAAACATCATGCAAAACGTCATATAAATAAGGAGAATATCATCAATTATTATACCTTCCCAGCTTTACAGTGCACAGCTACAACATTTCGAGGGTCAGCCTTCAAGTATTCATTGACCTGCAAGATAAGGGGAGCAAACAGCGTTATCATCAAATGATTCACGATTAATATAAAAAAATTGAAACAAAAACTATAACCTTTACCTCTCTGCAAAAAGGTTCCATGAGATCGAGCCTTGGTGGGTGGTGATCCTTCATATGGTATAGGCCCACTCGTCCGTGAAACTTCTCCACTTTGTAGAAGTAGTTGCCCCGTCTAAACAACTAACCATTCACGAGAATGTGATTTAAATGTTAAACAAATTGTAAATGTAAATAAATTTGTTTTGCCGAAAGACTTCTCTACTGACAGTAATCGTACTTAGATCAGTGCCCATTAGCTTGCTGATATCGAAAATAATCAATAATCTCCATATTACGATAACCATGCCAGGTCACATCATGCCGTTGGGGAGAAGTTTTGCAAAATACAACCCCCTTCTCAGAGTTCCTCCTGTGTTCATGGATTCTCCCGACATTCCAACACATTCCACGAGTTTTTTTTTTCAAAAATTCCTCAGCTTTCCAAAAAAAAGCCGTTGGCAGGAACCGGAACGATGTACTATATAGCGCACTTGAAACAGGAAAAAAGAGAAGTCAGCCGAAAACATTTTTCTCGGGAGCAAACACAACACCCTCCCTCCAGCGACCAAAGGCGATCTCTGTGCTGAGGATCCCAGCGTACCACGTTGCCCGATTTGCGATAGACAGGAAACTACTGGCTGGCAGCTCAGAAGCTATTTTCGTATAAGCAACTAGCCTGTCAGCCTAAAAGACAGCCGTCAGCATAAATATGTTAAAGAGGCTGCATCTGCTTGCAGGCGGGCAGAGCTAGGGAAAGAGGTAGTGCGCGTTATTACCGCGCACATCCTATTTCCGCATTCCATGACTGGGAAAAAGGCATGGAGGGGAAGGGGCAGGCGCGCCAATGACGTCGTTTCCCGGCTCCACCCACTCAACAGTCCCGGGAAAAATGCGTTCCAAGCGCAAAAAGGGAGACGGGAGAGTGGCTGCATTTTTTTGAGTAAGACAAATAAAGAGCAAGAGAGTAAAAGTAACTTACAAATTGAATACTTTATAATGTCCAGCATGATTGCGTTCCAAGAATTTCACCGTGTGACACATGCTATTGCGATATAAACGCTCTAAACTTTTTGCTGGATAACCCATAGCGATTATTCGATCGGTTATATCTGCAAGAGAAAAACAGTAAATGATGCAATTCGAGTCCTGCTGAGCGCTATGAATTCTTGAAGATGGAAAAAGAAAAAAGAGCACCCACATGTTAAATCGAGATTAAAGCCATCCTCGGTGTACCGCCGCCGATTCTGACTGATCACAGAACGTAAAGGATTAAATACTAAATCTACAACATCCTGAAAAATGCATACTTCTTAATACGTCACTTGCGAAGGTTCACAGCGATGAACGCAAAACTAACATTAAAGCTCTGAAAAGAGGGGTTCCGAGACGACTCGGCAGAATGTGAGTTCGGTGATACGGCTGCATCTGCAAATGTTGACGTCCCATCACCATTGGACGAACCTGGCTCCGATGTGGAAGAGCTGCAATGTCTCTTTTTCAGCTCGAAAAATGTGACACATGAACTTATCTAAAACTCATATAGGTGCTAGTTCAATAGACATAGGGATTTGGCGCAATAATCATCAGATTACGGTAGTCTCTGTCATGTACAATGCGTTTGTAACAGTTACAAAATGGTACGAGCTAATTTCCATGCAATTTTTTTCCATATTCATGTTCGCCGGCATTCAGTTGTGGGAGGTGCGAGGAAAGATTATAAGCCAAGGGTGGGCTTTTACCCCCAATTGAAATATAGCAGTTCGAACGGAAAAGGGAGGGGCATCTGCAACTCTGCTACTTCCCATTGACAAGTTCACTGTACAAGGGTTGACATATGGCCTCTACGAAACCACTTCGTGACTTCACAAGATTTCACATGTGTCCTACTTGATGGCTCTACATCTTGATATGAAGGCGAAAATGCAAAATACCCCACCCCCAAGCCCAACTGCACCGAAAACTACTCCACAACATAGATGTTCGCCTATGTCTAGGAGCGAAGAGAACTCCATGCTGCCAAAATCAAATCATCCACCCATAGCTTCTTTCCCCTGCTCTAAAGGCACTCTCCCTGTTCACAAATAAGGTGTGCGGCTCAAATTTTAATGAATAGGTAACAAGTGATCCAACCGTGAAGAAAAAAGCAGAAAAAATCTCTGGAAGATTTCATTATTATCCCCGGCTGAACCGCGCTTATACGTGCACAAAACAAAGGGGCGTGGTCGTACGAGCTCTCACTCTCGTCATTCGAAATGGAGAGATTTAGTGGCGGAACAGCCGCGGTACAGGTAGCATGCAAAAATGAAACATGGGCGTTGCCGTGGCCAGAGGGCGGGGCCGCGGTCTCGGCGCAAGCGCGAAGGCTTTCCTCGGTTACGGGGCACTTGTCAACCATACGTGCTCTCGCTGGGAGGGTCCAGGGGTATTTTCTCAAGGCATCTACCAGTCCACTAGTTTAAGGGAGAAGGTAGAGGATAGATCAGAGAAGGGAGGAAGAAAAGAAGGTGGAGGAAAAAGAAAGGAAAGAGAAGAGAGGTTCCCGGTTGACAAGTGCCGAGGCGCTTTCCTCTCGTAATTTTGAGCTGCGAAAATAGTACATCCCCTCGCAGGCAGGACTACATTGTATGAAGAAGGTGGTGTCTGAACATCAAATGGACGCTGGGTATGCCTGTAGCAAGACTAAAACCAAAATGTCTCAGGCAAAAAGTTTTTTGCTAGTTCATATTGTAAGAAAATGTTTGTGGTGTTGCTCACCTACGATTGGGCTACCGCCCTCATGTGCCCATGACCCTTCCCTACATGGTCCTACAACTTCTAGTATAGAGGTAGTATGTCCCACTGGCTATCAGATTCTTTACCCAACCGTTGATTGTAATGCAATTGATAACATTTCAATTCTAGAGTGCTAAAGAGAAACAAACCTGTTCTTCTTGTCAGTGGTCGCTAGATCGACATGTACCCGCATAGCTGCGCCCTCGTCGCGCATTCTAGGATCGTGGCGACTCGATTTCGTATTGATGACGCGACGAGGGGTATTGCTGTTCGTTTCGGACCAGCGATTTCGGAAACAGTTAGAGAATGTGGCAAAGATGGCGATTGTGGTGGCGACAAAGGCGCTAGCAGGCGAAGGTTGCGCAAATTGGAGAGATGCTTGCGCTCCTGCTGTGATGGTTAGTCAGTTTCACGTGTGCACGTATCCCGATCGCAACGAACCACTCAACACAGACGATACTCGATCAACTCGCACCTGCCGCTCCTGAAATCACCCCTTCAAATACCTTTATTACATCTTTGGAATGAAATATTCTAGCAAGTTACTTTTCAAAGAGTACCAGTAAATCAATCAGCGAGCAATGAACAAGTCCATCCAAGCGTGACGATGTGGGCGAACTTTATCTTGAAAAGAAAAACACTTTAGGCATAAAAATTCCTGATACACAATGATAAATGACCGATAAGTGTGAGAAAAATCATCAAAGCGATACGAAATCAATAGAACGACCACAAAAAGGGGAATATGAAAGGAAAAGAGAATTGTTAGCAATTGTCATTTGTTATTATATTGTTATTTGTTATTACATTTATTGTTATTTTTTTATTAATTGAAGTTATTCTGACAGCAGGGCACTTCGTACTTAGGAGATCACCAGCGAGAGGGGGGGGGGAAGGACGAGAGGCTGGAGTCATGTTTATCATTCAGAAAAAAAAGATTTGGGCTTTTCTTAATCTTTTTTCTATTCCAAGTGCACTATTTACCCCCTCTCCTTTTATACGGCGCTTTATTTGACGAAAACTATATGGAATTTTGAAAAAGTGGCAGGAATTCGAATAAAATCAGAAAGATGGTAAAGAAGAGAGGGACAAAGAGGGGACGTATTAGCTAAATTCCTCCGGTCGTGCCGTTCAGGAGAAATTTTGCAGATTACGACCCGCTCAGATGTCCCTGTACTGGTGGGAGCCCTTCCCCTTCTCCCATCCTATACTCTATGCCTACCTTCAATCGTTCTGGATTCTCCTGACTTTCTACCACCTTTTCGGAGTTTTTTTTTTCACTTTTTCACTCCGTAAGATTGGAAGGGTGGGGGTATACAGCGACAGTGAAACGGGAAAACCAAAGAAAAGTCAACAATCGAGCATATTTTCCTTGGAAGCAAATAAGAGCCCCTGAATGCGCGTCCAAGCCTTCACTGGGGATTTCCAACTAACGACGGCTCTGATCTTTTTTCTACCAACATAAGAAAATGCAAGAAACAGAAGTCTTGCAAAAATATTCTGAAAGGCTCTGAAGCAGAAGCAAAGGGGTTCGGCTAAGGAATGACAAGAAAATTGGAGTCCTGAGAGAAGAATGGCGAACAGAGAACTTCGTGCTGCTGGGGGATTTCTGAAAAATACGACACTCCCTCTTGCAAATTCATCCTCCGATTACCCCCTCCCCTTTCCCTCATTATAAATTCTCCCATCTTCCCCACATCTCCGGAGAAATTCTCTGGTTTTTCGCTCCAAAAAACTTGCCATCAAGGGCGGAGGGTGTTAGCGCACTAGAGCACTTAAAATAGGGAAAAAATCCTACAGAAGTCAACAACCGAAAGGATTTTTCTCAAAAGCGAATGCCCCCCCCCCTCCTCGCTAGGGATCCCAACGCACGACGTGCCTTGATCAGGTAACAGGCAAATGAAAGTCAGAATGAGACCCTCCTACAAGGGACTTCTTTCAAACCAAATCGAAGTTCAACGGTTCCCATCGTGTTCAAAAAACACTCCTTTCCTCAGCGCCTCATATAGAGAGATAAAGCTTTCTTCGTCGATCAATTCCTTTTTAAGATGCAGCAAGCATTCTAGTTCCATTTAGCGTGGCCTATACAATGAAATGCGAGGCCATACGATGTAAAAGACGGTGTTTTATTCCCGCAGACGGGTTTAGTACCGAGCCGCAAAGCTCGGATGGAAAATGGCCTAGTAGGCCCTGACGGGAACCGATCTTGCCCTCCGGACAGCGCAGCTGATGAGCAACGTCGCTTGTCAATACATTACCAAACTATTAAAAATACCTGCTGCAAATGTTTGACATTTAGAGTTTGATATAATCCGGAAAAAAATGTAATCAAAGAGGCTTGAAGTGCTCTGACATGACTGCATTGATCTCCGAGAAAGAGTTGACGAAGGGGAGGGGAGGGGAAAGATCGTAATTGGTCGCTGGAGGGAGGAGGAGGTAATATTTGGCTTCGAGAAAAAGGTTTTCGGGTAGTTGCACTTTGCGTATCCTGTTTCATGTGCGCTCACTTCCGCCACCCCCCCCCCCCTTGACAGCGGTCCTTTTGTGGGGAACAGAAAAATAAATTCTGGAAAAGTGATAGTACTCTTGGAGAATTCAGAAAGAACGTAGGCTTAGAGGTGATTGTTTGAGAAGGGGGTCTTAAGAGCGCCAGGACCTTCCTCCTCCCCGCTCGACGTCATTTTTTTTGGAGAAGTGGACAAACTTCTGGAAAGAAGTGATAAAAAGTTGGGAAAAATCAGCGGATGGTTAGGCGGTAGGGGAGGTCGTCGTTCCAGAGGCAAAATTTTCGGGGGAAGGGGTCATATTTTAAAGAAATTTCCCCTAGCAGCCGTGACGTGCCCTGAGCAAAATCTCCCTGAAAGATCGACCTTGCCATGATCAAAATAAGAGCGTGGAATCAGGGCACGCCCTGCCGCTGGGGAAGATTTGCAAAACTTTCCAAAGGCGAATACGATCCCCTCCCAATTTCGTGCTCTAGTACGTACCCCCTTCCACATACTACCAACTATCTTGCCAACTTTTCCAATCTTCTTACCACGTTTGCTTACAGTTCTCGATAATTTCTCAGCTTTTCCCCAAGATTTTTCGATTTCTTCCCCCCCCCCCCTCCCTCTCCCCTTTTCGTCCTAAACTATGGGCCCCTTCCCCATACTACCTACTATCTCGCCTATCTTTTCCAAGTTTCCTATATTTTTTTTTGAAATTTGCCGAGAATTTCCCAGTTTTTCCTCAAAACTTTCCAAGAGGGCATCCGAGCGGGGTAGGGGATCGAGGGGGGGGGGGTATGTAAACCAGTAAAATGTTAAAAACCGCAAACAACCGCGACAACCGGACAACAGGAAAAATGTTTTCACAACTCCACAACCCGACAATCGAATTTCTCCCGAAGACAAATACACCCCTCTCTCTCTCCCTTTCAATGACGAGCAAATGTGATCCCTCCCTCCAGCGGCGAATATGATCTCCAAGTTTCGTCTTCTACTGTACCCCCCCCCCTTTGTCCCATCCTACCCACTATCTTGGCAACTTTTAACTTTCTCCATTCTAGAAAGTCAAAGTTCTAGGACAAGTCAAAATTTTTCTCCAGAAGTTCTTAAAATTTTTCAAGAGGGAGGTATGGAGGTATCTGACAACAGTAAAACGTGAAAAACAGCAAACAACCGTGACAACCGGTAAAATTCTTTTCACAGCGCCACCAACGTAGCAAATTTTCTCAGAGGCGAGCACAATCTCTCCCTCCTCCTCCAGCGACGAGCAAATACAACCCCCCTCCGACCAGCGACCATGTACGACCCCCCCGGCTCAGAACTCCCGAACGTAGGACGTGCCCTGTTTGGAATAGCATCTATTAATATTTCTCGCGATCAATTTTAATGGGAGAACGAAACGGAGCTTTAAATCAATCCCGAATTTTGCCTGCAAATTTGGTGTCTAACATTACAGCATACAAGTGGAAAAAGAATGGATAAAATGTTATAGAATGTTCTGAAAGAATAGAAGCAGTGACAATGAATTCCCCCGACTGGCGCACTTTTGAGAGGGACGCAAGCGAAATCGATTGGACCCGATGATCTCGGGGAAAGTGCACGAACGGCCGCAACGAGGCGAGATGGCACTGCTGCGGGACTGCTGCTGGCTGCACACTGGGCCCGGCTGGCTGGCTGGCTGGCTGGCTGGCACACACAATCACACACACACAGGGTCTATCTGACTGAGACACTTCGAAGACGTCAATCCTAGTCCGGATAATGATAATCCGCACATCCACCGTCGATTCGCAGTAATCATCGTGCTCCCCGGGCTTCGTCCCGTTCCAGCAGCGCTATCCTAGCGCGATGACTCGACTCGTCCCGTTCGTACATCCCTTCTTATACGCCCGCGTAGTCGAGTGCATTTGCACATGCACCCTCGATGCACTCTACAAAGTGCGAATCAATGTCGTGCCAACGAAATGTATCTCTCTCTCGCTCCTTCCAGGGTGTGCTGCGTGAAATTTTCCGATTCGTCAGCCGCTCTGCAAACGCCGCGGTTCAAGGCGTCCGCACAAAAAACCCCTGCTGTTAAAAACGAATTGCTGCAAGCACGCTCAGCGCACCGACTGACTTATTAAAGTTCATATGGCACTTGGACTTAAAGTGATTGCCCCTTACTTGGAACCACGGCACGCCATCGCTGTGATGATCACGACGGGGGGGGGGTCGTATTTGACCACGAGGGAGGGGGGTTTGTATTTAGTTTGAGAGAAATTTGTTTGATAGTTGTCTTCTCTCGTTTCACGGACGCTATAAGGGGGGAAGAGGGGTCGCATTTGGTCGTTGTTGGGAGAGGGCCTGCCAAAGATGTATACAACTACTATTTCCGATAGTCGCAATGATAGTCAAATCTTGACGACCTCCCCCCCCCCCTCCCCCACTCAACGGAAAATTCTTGGCTGAAAAACTGGAAATTTTTCAGGAAAAAATGGAAGGAAGTTGGGAAAATCTAGGAAAGTGGTAGTTAGCATGGGGAGGGGGGAGTCGTATTTGAAGATGGAATTAAGGGGGGGGGTCATATTTTTTAGGAAATGATCGCAAGGCGATGGCGTGCCCTGCTTGGAATTGCATGGCATATTAGATGCCCAGCTCTGAACAGCAATATACAGTGCATATCACGGGGATGGATCGGCGTGGCTAGATATTTCGTGGGCCAGGATGTGGTTTGGTGCTCTATTGCCGTCTGGAGCAGTTTTAATCCAATATTGGTCCAATTCAGAAGAGGATGGCAGTTGCCTCAAATGGAAATATCCCACGAAAAACGCATCCCACGCTGTTTTCAAATGACATAGCAAGCTACGCCCTTCCAGTCTTCGGGATAAGGGGGTGTATGATGGCCGAAAGAAGAAAATTGCTCACATTTGCCCACCAACACCTTCTACTGCCCAGTGCACCGTATCACCTGCTGATTTTTCACGAACCTACAACATCCACGCTGTTGCTTGACCTCCTTTCCTGGGATGCGACACGTATTCTCCCTCCATTCAGAATCGTAGCGACTTGCTGGACGCGATGTGGCCCATACACTGACTTGCAGGGGCCAGCCAACTCAATGTTCTCATCCTCTCAAATAAACCCGGTACCAATTTACCGTCTCCAATGGGTAGACTTCTCGGTTGGTCTGGGCGGGGTCGATCCTAAACTCCGCCCATATACCTCGCGCGTAGC